ACATTGTAGATGCTTATTAATGAATGTGTCATGCATGTTTTTGCTCAGCTGCATTTATTAATATTTTCTTTTTCTTTTCTCTTTTATTTGGCTATGATAACTTTATTTAACCCTTCCCTCACCCTGCTCGAATTTAGCCTTGGAGGGTAAGCACCTATTTGTGTGTGTATGTGTGTGCGCCATTTCTACTGTTATGGTATGATTGTCAAACACTACATATCATCATCTGTGACCTCACAAACAGATATCACCCAGAAAATGGTTTGAGTTTTGTATTTTGTGATTTGTCCCGTTGCATCAAGTCATGCAGCCTCCATTTGTGTTACCCAGATAGATATACAGAGTGTGATCACATGATCAGTGATGCTTTTAAACCTTTACATTTCAAGCATGGCTCTCCAAGCCTGTATAGTGGCTCTTGTCTCCACATTCAAGTGGTGTCTCGTATGTGAATGTCCCTCTTATCTGTCACAGACTTCAAAGGTCAGGAGGCCAAAAACTGATATTTCCGTGTGTGTTTGGTACTGTCGATTTAAAGTGAATCTGTGACCAGATCATGCAAGAATTTACAGATTCTGAACAAGCCCTCATTCACCTCTCCAGCGCTAAGCATTGTGGAAAAATTCATTTTGAAAGTACAACAAGGGCATTCAAATCAGATCTTGGCAGCCTGACGGCCCTGTAATGTAACCAAACACCAGGTGTTTCTAAGCTGTTAGAGGCCCCACCAGACTTTAGGCCTCGCTCACACCAGGGACAGTGCGTTCCGGCCCGATTCTGGCCAGATTGCATTGTGGCCGAAGGGCGTGGCTATGGTGCCATTCACTTCAATGGACCGCCATGCCCCCTCCTGCCCCACAACATAGTGAACCGGCCGCAATGCAGTGCAGTGGTTCTGGCCAGAATCGGGTCGGAACGCACTGTCTCTGGTGTGAACGAAGCCTTCGAGTCTTTGCTCGGATCTTTGAGCGTATTTGCAGCAAACAGAAGGAAGTCCTCAATGGAAGGGCAGATGTATCTCTCCCATTGGGGGCTCTTTATTATGACCTTGTTTTGGGTTCCATAGTCTTCCTCCAGCAGGGACAGGGATAGGTGTACAATGGTTGTACGGTCACAGTGTATCCAGAATCCGGTGTCCCCGACTCCCGAGGACTCGGCATGAGATGGGTGCACAGAGAGGGCGGGAGGGAGCCTCCTGCTTAGATACCAACCAATGTAACCACAGCAAAGCCGACATCCAAACCTATAAAACCGCTCATGGCAAACCGAGCACATTGGTCACATGGTTTCCTTATCCCGGATATCCCAGAATCTTCACTCACCCCGGCCGTAAGATCAAGAAGTATCTTGATTCAATAAAGACACAATAATGAAGACCGGGAAATTGATGAGTGAATCACACCAATCACCAATGAGATTCAACCAATCAGCGTCCTCTGTGTGATCCGAGTCCAGGTGGGCCCATTCATAGATCACAGTTGGGAATATTTTGGATGTCCTCTTTAGATGAAAATAAACTATTAAACACATTTACATATCGGGTAGAGATGCACCGATACCAGTATTTCGGTACCGATTTACCCATATTTTTTTTTCGGTACGCCCCAATACCGAGTACCATAAGTCCCATTCAGGAAGCCAGACGGCGTGTAATGACTCGCCACACGGCTACCCGATTAACAAAGAAGTCGTCTCCATGCTTCTGGTCAGTATGTGACGAGAAAGCATGGAGCAGGCTTACTGGCCAATCATGGAAGCCGGACGCCGTGTAATGACGAGGCGCCCAGCTTCCTGATTGGCTGGGAAGCCGGCTCCATGCTTTCTCGTCATGAGGTGACGAGGGAGCATGGAGCCGGCTTCCTGACCAATCGGGAAGCCGGGCAGCGTGTAATGACTCGCTGCCCGGCTTCCTGATGCAGGAAGTATCGGGCGAGGCATCGGAGCATTTGGACGAGTACTCGCCCAAATACTCCGGTATCGGCACCGATACTAGTATCCCTTATATCGGGTGAGGGAATTTTAGTTGTATTTGTGCATTTGCAGCAACGCAGCCATGTTCTTTCTGTGATTCTTTTATTCCCACAGTTACTTTTTCAGGACCAGATTTCGGGAGTTTCTACCTCCTCCTTCTCGGTCCAAGCAGTACTATGTTTGCATCTTGCTAAACCTTTGTGTATCAGTGCTGTTTGGACCAATGAGAAGGGGGTAGACCCCAAAAACTTGTCCTGAAGATTTAAAGAAGAACTACCCCGCGCTGTAAGGGTTAAGTGCTTGCTTTGTCTAAGTTATACTCCCCCCCCCCCCCGAACCACAATCCCGGTGTTCTATCAAAGGTTGTGACTGGGTTGGAATGTGTGACCGGTCACGTGGTCACACATCTTAACGTAATCCCGCCCAGTTTTTCGGCAGTGGAATATGTGACCAGCAAAAGGGGAAGAATTCCAACGCTTTCTCAGCTGTTACAAGGCAGATCGGCATCGCAGATGGGTATGTGCAGGAGAACCGATCTGTCCTGGAACAGCTAATCGGTCCTGAAATGTCACTTCTATCCGACTTTGCGGAATGTGAGATCGCAGTCACAGAGTCACATTTCAGGGCAGATCCGTTCTCCTGCACATATGATCCGCGATGCCGATCTGCCTGGAGCAGCTGAGAAAGTGTTACAGTTCTTCCCCTAAAGTGTTACAATTCTTCCCCTTTTGCCAGTCACATATTACACCACCGAAAAAATGGGCGGGATTACGTTAAAATGTGTGACCACGTCGCCGGTCACACATTCTAACGCAGTCACAAACTTTGATAGAACACCAGCTCGCTCTTAGACCGGTCCCTTCAGCCTCGCTCCAGCAGTCTAAGGTCCAGTGTATAGAACATGAGGATGCTGAGGGATATGCCATCACTGGAGCAGAGGAGGGGACAGGCTGGAGGGGTGAGTGTAGGAGCAAGCTGGAATCCACGGTTTGGGTGAGTATAACTTTTTTCTTCTTTTTTTTTAAGCTCCCTAGACAAAGCAAGCACTTAACCCTTGCAGTGCCGGGACAGCCTGGAGTTCTGCTTTAAGGGGTCTAACACCTTATTGGCTGGGGTGCTACCCCTGCACTGCAAGGGATTTAATTTGCCCAGAGTTCTGCTTATAGGGGGTCTACCACCTTATTGGTTGGGGGGCTACCCCTGCACTGCAAGGGATTTAATTTGCACAGAGTTCTGCTTATAGGGGGTCTACCACCTTATTGGCTGGGGGGCTATCCCTGCACTGCAAGGGATTTAATTTGCCCGGAGTTCTGCTTTAACTTTTAGTGCAAATAAAGATTTGATGGACAGAGCTCGGCTGTCATATTGGGTTACAGGAAGAGACGCTGCCGTGGTAAAGAGAATAGGGGCTCAGTGCGGCACAGTCCGGCTTTCATTAGCAGGAAACGTGTCTCTGACAATGTCCTCCTCATGGGCAGAAGAACTGGCCATTGCACATAGTGCAGCTCAGTCTGACAGTGAACCCGTCTGCATATGGAGTTGGGAGACGGGCCCAGAGAGTCACATTCAGCGCGCACGTACACGCTTGGAAGGAAAACAAGTGCACGTGACCCGCTTCTATGCCAGTCTATTCTGAATGACTTTCTTCTCAATGAGCGCTTGTGCTCCGGCTGCCCGTCCTGTCTGTTTTGTTATTATAGGGCTCCACCTAGTGGCCGCTTTCATTGTTGCCGTGTGATTTCGTGTTGAACCTTCAATACTCGCTCAGACTCTTCTTTCATTTCATTCAGATACAGCCGCAAGAGATAAGCCCCCCACCCACGGCCAACTTGGATCGCACGAACGACAAAGTGTATGAGAATGTGACGGGCCTGGTGAAAGCTGTGATAGAAATGTCTAGTAAGATCCAGCCGGCTCCCCCCGAGGAGTATGTCCCCATGGTAAAGGTGAGCTGTGTATTTGATGCTTTCAAAGTGGGTGCAGGCTCCTCATATGCTCCTCTTATAGCAGTTCGTGCATTAAAGTGAATCTAAACCCTGATGATGCTGCCTGTCCTGGAGTGACAACACTCACTTACAATTCAGTTTTTGGAGGAACAGTGTTGTCACCCTAGGACAGGAAGTATTAAGGACTGCAGAACACCTCCCTTTCTCAGCCATAACATGGGAAATGTGTTCTGTAGTTCAGAGGTGAACTGGGCAAAGTTAATACCACTGCAGAGTACACAGGACACATAACAGCACTGGATTTCTGGCAGGATCAATAGGTATATTTTTGCCGTTGTTGAACAGTTATCACAAAACACTTTTAATGGTATATAGTAGGGATGCACCGATACTGGTTTTTCGGTACAATATTTTTTTCCCAGTACTCGCCGATACCGGAAGTCCAATTAAGCAAGCCAGTCGACATGTAATGACGTGGCGCCGGCTTCCAGATTAGCAGGGAAGCCGTCTCCGTGATTCTCTTCACTAGGTGACGAGGTGGCATGAGGCCCGCTTCCCAGGCCAATGAGAAAGCCGGGCGACACGTCATTACACAGCGCCCGTCTTCCTGGTTGGCCAGCTTCTCAACCAACCAGGAAGCCAGGCAGCAAGTCATTACACGCTGTCCAGCTTCCTGATTGGCCGGGAAGCCGGCTCCATGCTCCCTCGTCACAAGTGTATCAGGCTAGGTATCGGAGCATTTGGGTGAGTATCAGTACTCCCAAATACTCAGCATTGGTATAGATGCATCCCTAGTATATAGAATAAGCAAATCAGGGAAGTTCATTGCTGGGGTTTACATACACTATAAAAAGAGACCCTGTCACCAGCTTCAAACATTGCAGGTAACAGCACAAGAAAGTCAAGTATATTTCTTGCTTCTGTGCAGTGTTTGTCCTCTCCGTAGTTTGTTCACTTTCATTGTGACTTCGAGCTTTCTGCAAAGTTTGAGTACTCCATTAAAGTCAGTTCTCTAGCACAGCCCCCCTCCCTCCTTGCATGGCATAGCCCTCTCTTCTTCTGCGAGTGTCTGAATACTGTTGGCCCAGCTCCTCCACCCCTCATCCCCTTACATAACCTATTATGTAGCAGCCAGGGAAGGGGAATACTATAGATCAGGGGGAGGCAACCTCCGAACTCCAGCTGTTGAGGAACTCCAAGTCCCATGAGGCATTGCAAGACTCTTGACGGCCATAGGCATGACTCCCAATGGAATAAACATGATGGGATTTGTAGTGCCGCAGAGCCAAGGTTGCCTACCCCTGCTATCAAGTGTCACTTGAATGACAGCTCTGAGCCACACGGCGCTCCTGACATCACATTCAAGATGGTGGCGCCCAGCAGCGGTCGCAGGGCTTTTGGATGCTTAGGCAAGGGAGGCTTTTACATGTAAATAAGAAGTTGGTGGGTGAGGGATCCTTGCAGCATACGGGCCTGGCTTACTCCCCGCCAGGGACATATCTGCATGAAGTTTGTATATTGTATCGTATTTATCGTATATTTGTATATTTTATATATATATATACTGTGTTTTGGTATTGAAGCATCACCGAAAGAATATGTTGGTGATTTTCAGTTGACTTCTAATTCTGAAATGCTTGAAGCAGGGTTGCCCCAGGTGGCATCTCTTTGGGTCACAAGTGAGGACAGCAGGCAGACCGGCATTGCCACTCTGTTGCACAAACTTTGCAGTGTGCCTGCTATCTCCTTTCCGGCCAGTGTGTCCCGGGGGTGCTAAGAGCCAGGCGGGGAGATGTAAAGGGCCATACACATCTTCCTGCCCAGCTCTTAGCAATCAGCCAGCGTTCCGCCCACATCACTGGTACCCAGGAAGTGAGTGGGATTTTCTGCCCGGCTTCCTGTCAACCAGTGATGTCATTGAGCCGGATTACATTGTGTCTGCACGGTGCCATCCGTGTTCATCACTACAAGCACCATTGTCTACATGGGCCTTGATTGGTGCAAGTTGTGCGGAGGATTTCCCCTTCTATCCATTGAGCTGGATGGCACACCCCAGTTATCAGGCACCACCAGCTACCCCGCACACCCCCTGGAACATGCACCAACAGCGACCCCATCCGCCGTGCCTAGGGACACCCCTGGCCGGAAGCCATAACAGCTAATCAGAATTCATGCAACTGAAGTCTAACCCAGGTGAGAGGCATTCTGATAGTTTGGGGGGGTTACTGCATCCAATACACACATCGTCATCAAATAAAGCCTTGATAAAGTATCTTTAAGAGCAGCATCCCTTATCATATAGTAAGATTAACTTGTCCTGTTTATCCGCAGGGGGTGGGGCTGGCGTTACGCACATTGCTGGCCACTGTTGATGAGACCATTCCTGTTCTTCCTGCGAGTACACACAGAGAGGTGAGTGATGATCTCCTATTATACTTTGTTTATATTCATTGTATTCCACTGACCAGTCCCGGGTCTGACCCACTTTAACCCCTTCGTGACGGGAGACGTACACTGTACGTCCAGCCACAAAGGGACCAAATGACTCGTCACGTACACTGTACGTGACGAGTTATTTGCTGCACTAGAAGGCTGCTAACCGCTGAGAATCAGCGGTTACCTTTCAGTAATAGATGTCTAACTATCTAGAGATCCATTACTGAAAGGGTTAACCTTTTTCAGACACCCGATACCTTAATATCGGGTGTCTGAGAGTCACAGCAAAGCAGACACACATGTCGGCTTTTGCCGGCATTCTGACAGCTCGTATAGATCGAGAGATATCTCTCTCAAGCTATACTGGCTTTTTTTTTTTTTATCTTTTGACTTTCAAGAATAGATACAAAATGTTATGTATTAGACACATAATGTATCTATTCTTGAAAGTAGAATGTTTAAGTTTTCTGAAACATTCACTGACAGCTGAATCCTGAACTGCTGCAGGATCAGTGTCACTAACTTATTATCGGCTGTTCTGAAGTTTGAAGCAGCCTGATAATAAAAAAAAATGTATTAATTTATCAAGCAGTAATAGTGAGATTAATTCACAATGACTGCCTGATATAATTAAATAAATAAAATTTGTCAGTATAAAAAAAGTGAAAAGTGTAAATAAATTAAAAAAAATAGTGAAAAGTGTAAAAAAATTAAAAATAAGGGACAAATAAATGAATGTATGTATTGGCTTTTTTTTTAGCTGTGCTGGTTTTGTTAAAAAAAAATACTACAAATCAAAACTGGGAAAAAAAGTTTTTTTTTACGTTTTTTCCTCTTTTTTTAATTTGTATTTGTCCTAAGTGAGGCGTTAGACACACATATGTGATATAAATATATAGCCCTATCTGTCCTCTAAAAAACAATATATAATATGTGTGGGTGCACTTTGTAAGAAAGTATATTACTGACGTGGAAGAATCACACAGCAAAAATGTCAAAAGTGTGTCAGTCATTTACGAACAGAAACCAAAAACAAGCTCAGTCATGAATGGGTTAACCTTCAGAATACCTGATATTATCATTGATATGGATTGCTGGAAACAATCCTATCCGGCCCATGTGGACTGGTCAGCGTGTCTGCAGATTTGTAGGCCACATACTCGTGTCCAGATCCACAGCACTCCACCGACCAGCATCTGACCCTCCATCATCTGCCAGAGCAGAATCTGGGAGCCTTCAGACACCTAAATCTGGTGATTGACGCCCCCTATAGACTAATTTTCCTTTTCATAGCGGACCGCACGTTACCTCTAACGAGGGTTCACAGAGGACCTTCTGCACAGCACTACTGTATAGAGCCATTATTAAAGCCCCCGTGGACCTCCTGTCAGCTTGTACAAGTCTGGCCATCCTCCTCTGACCGCTCTCAATAACCAGTTATCACCCGTTGGAGGTTTTACATTATTTACATCATTCCCTTTAAACTCTGCAGGAGGGGCGTGCAACCTCGGCACTCCAGCTGTGGTGAAACTACAAGTTCAATGAGACATTGCAAGACACTGACAGCCATAAACATGACTCCCAGAGGTATGATGGGACTTTACATCACATGCGAGTTTCATCACAGCTGGAATGTCAAGATTGCATCCCCATGCTCTACAGCAGGGGTGCCCATAAGGTCGATCGCGTAGCGATCTCTAGTAGATCGCGATGTCCTCTCCTCCCGCCGGTGGGGCTTCTCTGGATCCCCGCTGCTTGGATTCTCTGGATCCATCTTCTCTGGATCCATCTGTATGCAGCCGGGATCCGAGAAGAAGTGAAGGAGCCGGCGGCTGGGGAGGACGGCCGGCGGCTGTCAAAGAACTAATGCCGAGCGGTAAGGAGAGAGAGAGAGAGAGACGCTCGGTCTGGATCTGACAGCCGGCACCTCTCTCTCTCCTCACCTCTCGGCCTTAGTTCTGGCCTTAGTTCTGTCACAGCGGCTCCCACCCCCCCCCCCCCCCCGCGGCTGAAGTGCTTCATGTCGGATCCCCCGCTGCCTCTGCCCGGAATCCATGGGAGAAGCTGAGCACCGTGTGCGTGGCCGAGCGGCAGAGGATCGGTACATATCAGTGAAATGTACCGGTCCTCTGTGCAGGACAAACACTGGAGCGATCAGCTGATCACTCCAGTGTTTGTAAATAACTGTGGACACATAGTACTGTGTGTCCCCAGTTATAAATGAACAGTATGTGAATTACATCACTTCCTGTTCATTTATGAGTTTCTCAATGGGGAGAAGCACTCACTACAGAGGCTCCTCCCCCTTCAGAAACTGCTGTGCTCGCAGCATTTTTGCGGATCGCACTGGACTGGAACGCAGTCACTAATGTGCCTGGGTTCTGGGTGCAGGCGATTGCACTATGGGCGGGGGGGCTGCATGCGGTGCCATTGACATCAATGCTGCGCCACACCTCCTCCCGCCCCTGAATGCAGGTGTTTTATTCGTTGGTAGATCTCATTGAGCTCGTCATTTGAAAAGTAGATCTCCAGACGAAAAATTGTGGGCGCCCCTGCTCTACAGGCTGTAGTAAGTGAGAAGATCGGCAGTCTGTACGATTATCCAAGTGCCGCATCTTACACCACCAATCATTCCATAAATTCACTTGGATTAAACACTTTCCCCCCGAACAACATCTGAACCTAATGTCTGCATGCTTTGTATATCCAGTTACAGACATATGATCTGATTTCTGGTATATAGTATTATGTATAAGTGTAGTACTGGAAGGATAGCGCTAGATATACAGGAAGGTTGCAGATTTAGGGGCATATTTATAAAGAGAATGGGGAAAATACAGCATTGTGGCCACTAGATGGAGCTGAGGTTCATAAGAAATAAATCTATGTCAGTAACGAGATTCATTGTTACAATTCTAGAGATCTCTGGAGGGAATTAGCATATCATTGTAACCATCATTACTACGGAGATAGCAGTGATTACATTGATATGCTCATTCTGTCCAGCGTTCTCTTGAATTGTAACATTGTATCTCTCTGCTGACATGTAATTTATTTCCTGTGATCCTCAGCTCCATCTAGCGGCCACAATGTGGTATTTTCACCATTCACCTTTTATTTCATGAATCAACCCCTTTGTGACGGGAGACGTACACTGTACGTCCTGCCCCAAAGGGACCAAATGACTCGTCACGTACACTGTATGTGACGAGTTATTTGCTGCATTCGAGGGCTGGTAACAGCTGAGAATCAGCGGTTACTATTCGTTAATGGATGCCTCAGTATAGAGACATCCATTAATGAAAGGGTTAACCTTTTTCAGACACCTGATACCTTAATATCGGGTGTCTGAGAGTCAAAGCAGAGCCGGCAAACATGCCCATTCTGACAGCTCGTATAGATCTAGAGTTATCTCTCTCCATCGTATACTGGCTTTTTTTTTTTTTCTTTCACTTTCAGGAATAGACACACAATGTATCTTTTCCTGAAAGAAGAATGTTTCAGTTTTCTGATCGTTGTTGGAACGATCAGAAAACCTTTAGTGACAGCTGAATTCAGGATCAGTGTCACTAACTTATTATCGGCTGTTCCGACGTTTGAAGCAGCCTGATAATAACCAAAAATGTATTAATTTATCAAGCAGTAACAGTGAGATTAATTCACTATGACTGCTTGATATAATTAAATAAATAAAATACATTCTTTTTTAAATAGTGAAAATTGTAAAAACAAAGTGTAAAAAAATAAAGGACAAATAAATGAATGTATTTATTGCATTTTTTTTAGCTGTGCTGGTTTTGTAAAAAATACTACAAATCAAAACTGGGAAAAAAGTGGGGGTTTTTTTTACGTTTTTTCCTCTTTTTTTATATTTTATTTGTCCTAAGTGAGGCGTTAGACACACATATGTGATATAATTATATAGCCCTATCTGTCCTCTAAAAAACAATGTATAATATGTGTGGGTGCACTTTGTAAGAAAGTATATTACTGACGTGGAAGAATCACACAGCAAAAATTTAAAAAGTGTGTCAGTCATTTATGAACAGAAAGTAAAAACAAGCTCAGTCATGAAGGGGTTAAAGGAGAATTATGAGGTGAGTGAAAATCACTCCTCCTCATAGTTGGAGCCGACGTGTGACAATGAAACTCACAGATCGGCTCAATAGATCGGGAAGTGAGCGAACACATACCGTTACTTGCTCACTTCTCGGTCATCTACCTGCAGAGAGCCATGACTGTCACTCACCTCTCCCTGCAGGGATTCCCCGCTCCGTTCCTCCAACGCTGACTGGCGGAATGGGAGGGGACAGGTACAGCAGAGCCAGAGCAGAGCCTCTAGATAGGCAGAGCCAGCTGTCACTCACACAGCTGGGTGGATCTCCACAGTAATATCGGGATCCGTCCCAGCTGCGTGGTCTCAGTATATAGTTAACTACAGCTCGCGGTATACTGAGCTTAGGGTGACGGGAGGGCGCTAGTTTGTGTCCTCCCGTGACCCTTAGGAGAACTATGGGGAAAAACACTGACCCCATAGTTCTCGTAGCATTAGTTTTAACTCCTTCTCACAACATCTGTACGTTTTGCGCAGAGCGAATGTTCCTGCGCTTTCGCTGGACGAATACGCGATGACATTCTTTTATAACTGGATCCTTTATTGGAACACGTTTTGTAGAACTTGTCTTTGATCAGATATTATGTTTTTATCACCTTCCAGATCGAGATGGCGCAGAAGCTGCTCAACTCGGACCTGGCAGAGCTCATCAACAAAATGAAGCTGGCCCAGCAGTACGTCATGACCAGCCTCCAGCAGGAGTACAAAAAGCAGATGCTGACCGCCGCGCACGCGCTGGCCGTGGACGCCAAGAACTTGCTAGACGTCATTGACCAGGCCCGGCTAAAAATGATCGCGCAGTCGCGGCCACACTAAAGCACCTGAGCGCGGACTCCTGTTAACGCCTCTTGTCTAACACGTTTTCCTTTTGGGATCATGTCTAGCCTTCCACCAGCAGCCTCGCTGTCAGCGGGGCGGCCACGCCTCCGGCGCAGGAAAAGTAAATAAATAAGTAAATAAAAAAAGGCGACGGTTGGCGCCCCGCGCAGTTTCGACCTCTTTCCGTCACAGCTTGTCAGGGCTGAGGGTGCTGCTGCCACGGGTTTTCTGTATGTGTCAGTCACCGGGAGGAACGTTGGCACGGGACTTTGCTGGATCGAGAAGGACCAGAGTCCCGGGTGCAGATCAGCGGAGGATAAGGCTCGGCGATATCCGTCAAAATCCGCGGCGACCGTCAATCCCGGCGGCTGCTGCGACTGGAATATCTTCCTCTTCTGATTTATTTTGTTTTTGTTATCGTTTCCGCTACGAAGAAGTTCTATTTTCAGGACCTATCGAGAGACTCCGGACGGATCGTCGCCGTTCAGCCGCTTTTGTTTTTTATTTTTCAGCCCCCCTGTGGACGTGTGAATCCTGCGATGGAACACTCAGTGTGAATCCTGCGATGGAATACTCAGTGTGAATCCTGCGATGGAACACTCAGTGTGAATCCTGCGATGGAACACTCAGTGTGAATCCTGCGATGGAACACTCAGTGTGAATCCTGCGATGGAACACTCAGTGTGAATCCTGCGATGGAACACTCAGTGTGAATCCTGCGATGGAACACTCAGTGTGAATCCTGCGATGGAACACTCAGTGTGAATCCTGTATGTCCTACATTTCTTTTTGGTTTTTTTAGTCCTCCCACCAGAATAAAGTGCCAGTTTATATTTTTTTTTTTCCTGAAGAGATGGATTTTTGGTTGCTTTTTGTTTTTAAATATACACGCACGCTGCTAACTCTCAAAACGTGCGTATAAGACGGGCGCGGACAGTAGCCCCCGCCCTTCCCCGAGGATCTGCCACTCCCAGCATGTCTAGAGGCTGACAGTTGTTAAATTTCATGGGGGGTTTTGGTTTTTTTTTTGTCACAGCTTTATTACCCTAATAAATTATCAGACCCGCGTTCACGCTATAAGACCTATTCCCCTCCCGCGGGAATAGAAATCGATTCTCAGGAAGAATATAAAGAACTTTGTGCAGAGCATTTCGTCGGCTGTTTAAAGGATTTAGGTGGTTTGTAAAACCCAGAATTGCTGCGATACGACGACTTTGTGTCCTCCCCCCTCCACACCCCACCCCCCTTCCCGATGAAGACACGGCCCCCTCCGGATCAGTGTGAACGGTGAAGCATCTGGGAAAATCGATCAGCTCTTAAAGATCATTCAGTTATTAAAGGATTTGAATATATCGCTGGTTTCGTTATTGACGAGTCTCATTCAAGGAGCATGAACATACAGGATTTACCAAAATGGCCTTTGCTTTGGTGTATTGAGTAAGCCGGGAGGAAAATGAAACCGCAGGAAGTTGCTAGAAATAGGATATGTCGTAAGTGTAATTTTGGGGAGATATACCAGCACTTCCTGTCCCTGTTACTGGAGAGGGATCATATCCCTATGAAGGGGTATGTCTGTGTTTTTGCTTGGGAGATTTCCCTGCACTTTCTGTCCCTGTGACTAGGGAGGGAACACTTCCCTATGTAGGTGTATGTCTGTGTCTACATGGGAAGATTTATCTGCACTTCCTGTCCCTGTGACCAGGGAGGGAACACTTCCCTATGTAGGTGTATGTCTGTGTCTATGCGGGAAGATTTCCCTGCACTTCCTGTGACTAGGGAGGGAACACTTCCCTATGTAGGTGTATGTCTGTGTCTATGCGGGAAGATTTCCCTGCACTTCCTGTGACTAGGGAGGGAACACTTCCCTATGTAGGTGTATGTCTGTGTCTACGCGGGAAGATTTCCCTGCACTTCCTGTCAATGTGACTAGGGAGGGAACACTTCCCTATGCAGGTGTATGTCTGTGTCTACGTGGGAAGATTTCCCTGCACTTCCTGTGACTAGGGAGGGATCACTTCCCTATGTAGGTGTATGTCTGTGTCTACGCGGGAAGATTTCCCTGCACTTCCTGTCCCTGTGACCAGGGAGGGAACACTTCCTTATGTAAGTGTATGTCTGTGTCTACGCAGGAAGATTTCCGTGCACTTCCTGTCCCTGTGACTAGGGAGGGAACACTTCCCTATGTAGGTGTATGTCTGTGTCTACGTGGGAAGATTTCTCTGCACTTCCTGTCCCTGTGACTAGGGAGGGAACACTTCTCTATGTAGGTGTATGTCTGTGTCTACGCAGGAAGATTTCCCTGTACTTCCTGTCCCTGTGACTAGGGAGGGATCACTTCCTTATGTAGGTGTATGTCTGTGTCTATGCGGGAAGATTTCCCTGCACTTCCTGTTCCTGTGACCAGGGAGGGATCACTTCCCTATGTAGGTGTATGTCTGTGTCTACACAGGAAGATTTCCCTGCACTTCCTGTCAATGTGGCTAGGGAGGGAACACTTCCTTATGTAAGTGGATGTCTGTGTCTACGCAGGAAGATTTCCCAGCACTTCCTGTTCCTGTGACCAGGGAGGGAGCACTTCCCTATGTAGGTGTATGTCTGTGTCTACACAGGAAGATTTCCCTGCACTTCCTGTCAATGTGGCTAGGGAGGGAACACTTCCTTATGTAAGTGGATGTCTGTGTCTACGCAGGAAGATTTCCCAGCACTTCCTGTTCCTGTGACCAGGGAGGGAGCACTTCCCTATGTAGGTGTATGTCTGTGTCTACACAGGAAGATTTCCCTGCACTTCCTGTCAATGTGGCTAGGGAGGGAACACTTCCTTATGTAAGTGGATGTCTGTGTCTACGCAGGAAGATTTCCCAGCACTTCCTGTTCCTGTGACCAGGGAGGGAGCACTTCCCTATGTAGGTGTATGTCTGTGTCTACACAGGAAGATTTCCCTGCACTTCCTGTCAATGTGGCTAGGGAGGGAACACTTCCTTATGTAAGTGGATGTCTGTGTCTACGCAGGAAGATTTCCCAGCACTTCCTGTTCCTGTGACCAGGGAGGGAGCACTTCCCTATGTAGGTGTATGTCTGTGTCTACACAGGAAGATTTCCCTGCACTTCCTGTCAATGTGGCTAGGGAGGGAACACTTCCTTATGTAAGTGGATGTCTGTGTCTACGCAGGAAGATTTCCCAGCACTTCCTGTTCCTGTGACCAGGGAGGGAGCACTTCCCTATGTAGGTGTATGTCTGTGTCTACACAGGAAGATTTCCCTGCACTTCCTGTCAATGTGGCTAGGGAGGGAACACTTCCTTATGTAAGTGGATGTCTGTGTCTACGTGGGAAGATTTCTCTGCACTTCCTGTCCCTGTGACCAGGGAGGGAGCACTTCCCTACTCTGCTGAAAACATAAATCCTATTTCTAGGTAAATATAAAATCTCCCCTTGTTGCCCCCGGTGATTACATGCTCGTTGTTGTCTAGGGCAGTGGGGGGTATTTTGGCGTTGCAGTTGTGGTGAGATGACCGATCCCATCACGCCTCTGCCTGTGAGAGTTATGCCTGTGGCAGCCAGAGTCTTGTATTGTCCAATGGGATTTCACCATAGCTGGAAGGCCGGAGTTTGGATACCCCTCCTCCAAACAGACGCACAATTAGGAAGTTGTCGGGGTCAGGTTTTATTCATTTACTGTGGCTGACGGAGTACTGCAGTGCCTCATGGGATTTGTAGTTTCACAACCACTGTTACAGTACCGATACTTTTCCTCCAGTACTCGCCCATACCAATTACTGATAGTTGTTTTTTATATTGTGTGTGATGTGACAGACTAATGATTTTAGAATAGCGGAGCAGCACCAGGGCTCAGGTCCCAGCTGCAAACGCTGCGATCCTGGTAGTTCTGCCACTAACTCCAAGCTGTAGAAAGGACTACAAATCCCAGCACAATATACAGCAATGCAGAATACCATCAGCTAGAGGGGACTACAAATCCCAGCAATACATTATACAGCAATGCAGAATACCATCAGCTAGAGAGGACTACAAATCCCAGCAATACATTATACAGCAATGCAGAATACCATCAGCTATAGAGGACTACAAATCACAGCAATACATTATACAACAATGCAGAATACCACCAGCTAGAGAGGACTACAAATCCCAGCAATATGTAATAGTATATGAATTGGCTACATACTCTGCTCCATATGCCGCTCTGCTCCAGTGTGCTGGCCTGATGTCTTGGACAGAGGGTCTCAGGAGGGGGAGATGTACGAGCCAGTGGAAGCGCTCTAAGCAGATGCCGTGTGGTTCCCCAGGAGGCTGCCACAAGGTCCCCAGCAAGCGCGGGACCTAAGGTGTGAGAAGAGCACCGACTGCCAAGGATGAGAAGATCAAGTAGTTAAAATTCCTTTATAGATTACCTTATACACCGATCAGCCATAACATTATGACCACCCGCCTAATGTTGAGTAGGCCATCAAAACAGCCGATTTGTTGAGACATGGGCTCCACTAGAACTCTGAAGGTGTGCTGTGGTATCTGGCACCAAGCCGTCAGTAGCACATCCTCTAAGTCCTGTCAGTTGTGAGGTGATCGGCCTCGATGGATCGGACTTGTTTTTCTAGAACATCACACAGATGCTCCATTGGATTGAGATTTGCAGGCCACACCTCAAACTCATTGTTGTGTTCCTCAAACCATTATTGAACTATTTTTGCAGTGTGGCAGGGCTCATTATCCTGCTGAAAGAGGCCACTGCCATCAGAGAATACTGTTTCCATGAAGGGCTGTACTTGGTCAGTAACAATGTTTAGGCCGGTGGTACATGTCAAAGTAACATCCACATGAATGGCAGGACCCGAGGTTTCCCAGCAGAACATTGCCCAAAGCATCACACTGCCTCCGCCGGCTTGTCTTCTTCTCATAATACATCCTGGTGCCATCTATTCCCCAGGTAAGTGACACACAAACACCCGACCATCCACATGTAAAATAATTCATCATACCAGGGCACATTCTTCCATTGCTCTATGGTCCAGTTCTGATGATCATGTGCCCATTGTAAGTGCTTTTGGTGGTGGACACGGGTCAGCCTGGGCATCCTGACTGGTCTGTGGCTACGCAGCCCCATACAAAACAAACTGCGATGCTCTGTGTGTTCAGACACCTTTCTATCAGAACCAGCTTTAACTTTTCAGCAGTTTGATCTACAGTAGCTCTTCTATTGGATCGGACTACAGGGCCCAGACCTCCCCCCCACGTACATCAACGTGCCTTGGCCGCTCATGACTAGTGATGAGCTCGGGCGTGTTCGCAAGCGCCCCGTGCCGAGCCCGCCAGGAAGCC